AGAGAGAGAGAGAGAGAGAGAGAGAGAGAGAGGGGGGGGGGCATATTAGCAAATGCTCTTGTTGTTTGGAGTATTGTGGCACTTTGTTTGGGGCAGTGGGTTGTGACCTTGAATGATCGATTTCCAATAATTTTGTGCCCTGAAAAATTAACAGATTGTTTGATCAGGGGAGTGTAGCAGCGGTAGTACGAAGCAGCCCACTGGCATTGTAATGAAAGGTGGGAACAGATTAACAGATTGCTTGATCAGGGGAGTGTAGCGGCGGTAGTATGAAGCAGCCCACTGTCATTGTAATGAAAAGTGGGAACTGTGCCTCCTCCTCTATTAGCTTAATTTAGCTACCATATTTGCTTATACTACCTTACTTAGAGTTACTTCTGATCTCAGGGCAAGTATGCTTAGACTGAAAATGGGTCCACACAGACTCCACAGGTATTCCCAAGCGTTTCCATCTGCTACGACTTTCTCGAGTGGCGCAGCTCCTGTTGGACCAATTTGATTGGGGTTGGCCAGCTACTAATGGGGCCAAAATTTACCCAAATTGTACAAGAGAGCCACCTTTGTTGTATACAATTAACCAACTGCCATCTTTTTCAGTGGCCTTCATAACAACACCAAAAGCCACTGAAAAATTCCCCTCTTGTGGACCATACATCTGACAAACAATTTGCACCCCCTTTGTAGTAGTCCCACTTGCTATACCGCACTCCCAACAGAACCATGGAGCATAAATCAGACCAACCAGAAACACTCAGAACCACAAGCATTGCATCTTGCAGGTACTACTTAACCTGACTGTGCCGTTCAAGTATTATCCAACCGTAAACCGTAAAACCCTGAAACTCTAAAGTGGCTTAACCCCATAAACCCTTGGCTGTAAAACCGTAAACTCTAAAACCTTAAACTAATAGACCCCTACTCCCTACCCCTAGCTGCTCAACCGTTAACCCCCTAAACCCCTAAACCCCTAAACCCCTAAGTCATAACCTAAGTGGTGTATCATGAGCATACCTTGGAACTGCTTACGCAAATGGTGTATCCTAAACCCCTAAACCATAACCCAAGTGGTGTATCCTAAACCCCTAAACCATAACCCAATTGATTTGGTTTCCATCATGGGGATACCAACTCGGATCTGATCCAAATTGGATTATATCTAGGCTGTTTGTTCAGGCACCCAACTTGTGCCCAGATACACACCGAGTGCCCGGCCGGCCGGGAATGAACCCTGGGCAGGGTTCAGGTCAGCCCCAGCACCAAAAAAAAAGAGAACAAAAAATTTCCAGAAAAAAATTATGTTGTGTCGAATAATCGAATTGCAATAAAAAACGACTTTGGCCGAGGGTCACATCAGAATTCCTCACGGAAGTGAAGACAAAAAAGAAAACAACAGAATCAGACTAAAGCACCCCTTAAACCCCTTGAGCCCCTTTAAATTTTAAAACCAATTTGCACCCCCTTTGAAACCCCTTTAGCCCTTTCAAAACCACTTTGTAAGTTTGTACCCCCCTGCCCCCTCTTGACAGCCAACGCTCGAAAAAAGAAAGGAGCCTGGGCTCGGGCTCCTCTGGCCATGCTCAGAAAACCTCAACCGAAAAAAAAAAAAAAAAAAAAAGGGCTAAAGGATTTAAATCATTAAATGTGATTTTTCAATTTTTGCCTGCACGGGGTGCCCCATGCAGGTGACCCCCAGGGGGACTTGCCCGGTTTGTACAGCCGGGTGATGCCAAGTAACTTAGGATGAATCCTTTTTAGGCTTTTTTCTTTTTTAAGTTTTTTTAATATATTCAATTTGGATCACGTACTCAGATGGGCCCAGTATGTGATCCCTGGAGACCATGGCTTGGCAGGAGACCTGGACAGGTGGTGGCTTTTGTGGGGATTGAAGAAAGGTGGGAAATGGTTATGTTTAATGTTATACTGGGAACAGCCTGCAGGTTGCTGGAGGTTCCAGCGATCCCAGCTAGAGACAATCAAATCAATCATTTCTTAGCAAGTTTGCTTGGGTTCTGTTCCTTCCTTTCCCTCATTCAGATGTTAGGGTTATGGTTATGTCATGCTGAGGATGGGTGTGGCATGGTGAGGCCTCTCACACCGGGCCTGGAAGGCCGGTCATTATTCTGGGTGGGCCCCTCGTCCCCTTGGCCTCTTAGTGTTGGTCTCTACAACCAGCCGAGAGGGCCTTGGTTATCACGAGGGCCCTACGTGAGTCAGTTCTCAGGCAGTTGTATGGATATTCTATTATTCTCTGTTCCGAGTTCATCTTATTTATTTTATTATTATTTTGTTCGCTGCATATTCTGTTGGTGTCACTGCGGGTTCGTGTTGTGCCAGTTTGTGTTGTCCTGGTCCAGATTGCATCATGTCATTGTTTTCCCCAAACACGCACGGATTTGTCATGTGGGGACCACTAGAGGTTACTGTTTCGCATGTCGGTTTGTGGCTGGGGCTGTGTCCATCGGACTCCATCCGCAGTGCTCAGACCAACTTGAGGCCCATGTCCTACTGTTGAGGCAGCAGGTTGGGCAAGTAGGGACCCACGCCATACATTTTCGACCTGGGTTACTGTGGGATAACCATGGTCTACTGCCTGTGCCATCGGATCCTAATCTGATCCAATGATCTGGGAGACAGGCCAGGTAGGGCATCCACTGCACCGAGAATACTTAGGGGGACAGGCTCGTCCAAGGTGATGGAGGAGGGTTCAGCGGCTCAAGGGTCTGCCTTTCAGTAGTCAGTATCTCAGACACACACACACACACACACACACACACACACACACACACACACACACAGAGAGAGAGAGAGAGAGAGAGAGAGAGAGAGAGAGAGAGAGAG